CGAGAGGAAGATAGGGTTTAGGCTGTAGGGTTTAGAGGTCCCCAAAGAACCCAAAACCATGAACACTAAACCCTAAACCAGGAATGTCCCTACTTCACGACCGACAGCAGCATCTTGAAGAAAAGTGCGAGGAGTCGCTTTCGTCAAACCTGATAGCACCCTAAACCCTAAACAACCTAAACCCAACCCTTAACGGAACCCTTAAAGGAACCCGTAAAGGACCCTTCAAGCAACCCTGAAAAGCGGTCCAAAAAGGACCCTTGAACCCGTAACCATGCAGAGAGGAACCCCTAAACCCTAAATCCTAAACTCCAAACTCTAAGCCCCAAGCCCGAAACCCTTAAAGGAACCCTTTAAAGAAACCTGACAAAGAACCCTTGAGGGACCCTTTTTGAACTCCCGCCCAGCTGCACCAGACGCGTTGACAGCGGTAGGAGCTGAGCCGTGGGGCAATGCTCCTCCAGCTTCGGTTTAGGGTTTAGGGTTCAGGGCTTAGGCTTTAGGGTTTGCGCTTTCGGGTTTAGGGTTTAGGGTTTAAGGGTTTAGGGCGCCTTTATAAATTTCTACAAGGGTTTAGGGTTTATAGTTTAGGGTTGCCATGCGGGTTACTGTAAGCATTCAGGGGCAATATTTACAGTATATTTTGGAGCGTCGTATGCCAGGTACTGCTGTTGCTACAGTCTCGTCTGGATTGCGTGAATCTTCAGTTCCCGAGACTGGCGTGTATGGAAGTTCGAGCCACGGTCCGCAGAATCCGGAACAGGTTGTTGACAGTTGGTGCATGTGCCATGCGATGTGCCTGCAAGGCCTGGGACTGGCGGAACTCGGCGAAGTCTCTGCAGAGGTCCGTGATCATGCCCTAAACCCTAAACCCTAAACCCTAAACCCTAAACCCCTAAACCCCCAGCAATAAGATGAGGCAGCCTGGGTTTCTGGGTTTCGCGTGCCTGGTCTCCTTGACCTCTAGCCTTTCTCGCAAGGCAGCCACGTACCTTATGGGCTCAACCCTACACCCTAAATCCGAGGTTTAGGGGTTAGGGTTTGGGTGTGAGGTTTAAGGTAGGGCGTAAGGTTTAGGGTTCAGGGTTGTGCTGGGATGTAAGGTTTACGGTAGGGATTAAGCTTTGCTTAGTCTACGCAAGCGGACTTTCGGCAGTCTGCTGGCGCGGGTTCTGGCACATAGGAGGGAAAGGGAGAAGGGCGACGCCCCCAGCACCACAAAACCACATCGGGCCGCCGAGACCCTAAACCCTAACCCCTGAACCCCAAAACCACCTAAAGCCTTAAGCCCTAAACCCCCCAAACCCCAAAACCCTCAACCGCCGAACCCCAAACCCCTATGCTCAGAAAAACCGAACAACCCTAAACAATTAGCTGAGGGTGTTCTTGGATTTAGGACTCTCGGGTGCTATGCTCATGGGGCTTTCCACCGGTCCCTTAAGGGGCGTTCTACTTTTGGGTTCACGGGTAGTTGTATCTGAAGGTTATAAGTAGGGCAACTGTAGTTACAACCCATCTTAGGGGACGCCTAACCCCACTTACAGGCCCTGTAACAAAGGGCACTGGACAAGTTTTTGTATGGCGCCAGAAAGGACTAGCGCTTCAAGGCTTTGGGGCTCCAAAAGCCTTCAACCCTCAAGCCCTCAGCCTAAACCCTAAACCCTAAATCCTCAACCCTAAACCCTAAACCCTAAACCGTACCCTAAACCCTAAACCCAACAAAACCCTCAACCCTAAACCGATGATGATGAAAAGCGATTTTGAGGGCCAGGCACATGGCCTTGGATAAAGTGTGGTTGGGGCACAAAGCTGATCTCAGACGTCGATTGCCAAAAGTACGCAGAGAGCCCAATACCCCGTAATTAAGGAATATACCTTAAATCATAATATTGAAGCCCCTACCAGTTTAAGGTATATTCCTTATTTACTGGGTGTTGGGCTCTCTGGGTGATTTTGGATTGCCACAGAGGGGCTGCGGAACCCATAGCGGCCATCTCTTCTGGGGACAACCTGAGACCCATTGCAAGCGACTAAACTCCCAGCAGTCACTTCCATTGCGGACAGAGCGGTAACTCTGCAAATGCACACTTAACGACGTCTGCAAAAGGCACACTTGACTCTACAAGTGAGTTCCAGATGCAGCTCTGGCAACACCTAAACCCTAAACCCGGAAGCCCTAAACCACAATCACCGATATGCTGGCCTTACAGAAAACAGAACTGCCTGAACATGTCTACTTTGGGAACCCTAAAACCCTAAACCCCTGAACCCTTAACACTAAATCGTAAGCCCTAAATCCTAAGCCCTAAACCCTGAAACCCTAAAAAGAAAAACTCCTAAACTGTCCTAAACCCCGAAACCCCAAACCCCTAAACCCTAAACCCTAAACCCCTAAACCCCAAACCCTGAAACCCTAAAAAGAAAAAAGCCCAGGTCCTTGAGAACCTCTGAGGCGATCCGGCAGTCTTTAGCCATCAAAGGCAGCTTGAAGCCGTAGCCTCGGATCTCCGGTCATGTCGAGCTTGCTATAAGGGTTCTATAAGGGTACTATAAGGGTTTTACAAAGGACTATAAGGGTTTAGGGTTATGTACCCTAAGCGGTTTAGGGTTTAGGGTTTAGGGTTTAGGGTTATGTACCCTAAGCGGTTTAGGGTTTAGGGTTTAGGGTTTAGGGTTATGTACCCTAAACGGTTTAGGGTTTAGGGTTTAGGGTTTGGGGTTTAGGGTTTGGGGAACCCTAAACCCTAAACCCCGAATGATATACGTTAAACTCTAAACCCTAAACCCTGAACGACACACCCTACACCCCTAAACCCTGAACGATATACCCTACACCCCTAAACCCTGAACGATGTACCCTAAACCCTAAACCCTGAACGATATACCGTAAAGCCCTAAACCCTAAATCCTAAGCCAGCTTTAGGTTCGGAGTTCACCGCTCCAATGCTCTTGGGGTTTAGGGTTGATGTGTTCAATCTGATTAGGGATGCTGGTGGCTTCCCTAAACCCTAAACCCTAAACCCTGAACCCCTAACCCCCTAAACCCTAGGCCCTAAACCCTAAACCCCTAAACCCCAAACCCTAAAGTTTCCAACGCCCTAAACCCTAAACCCAAAGCTCTGGACCCTCTATCCGACTCTATCCTAAACCCCTAAAGATTCTAAACCCCCCAGCCCGAAACCCTAAACCCCTAAACACCTAAACCCCTAAACCCTGAACCCCAAACCCCAAACCCTAAACCCTGAACCCTGAACCCTAAACCCTAAACCCTAACGGGCGGTATAATTAGGACCTGCGAGACCGCAGAAGACCGAACGGCTCCGTTCTTGGAGATCCCTAGGACCTTGCCGAGGAGATGCCTCCTGGACATTGAATTTGGGCTTGAAGGCTTAGGGATTGCGGTTTGGGCTTTAGGTTTTAGGTCTTGGAGTGGACCGGGCTTTTAGTTTAAAAGGGGCTCCAAAGAAGGGTTTAGGGTTTCTTTAAAGGGATCTATAAGGGATCTATAAGGGTTTAGGGGTTTAGGGTTTAGTAAGTTTTTAGGTTTGAGGGTTTGGGGTTTTGGGGTTTAGGGCTTAAGGCTTAGCGAGCCCTTCCTCCTGGGACCCTCAAACCCTCCCCTTGCTGGCCAAGACGCCGAACCGCCGCGTCAGCACCTCCTCGTGTGCTCAAAGGACTTCTGGGGGTGTAGCATAGGGGGCCTTAGTAACTAGAACAGGGCTTTGGGGCCCATTATGCTATAATATCTATATTCAGGAAGCCCCGAAATAATATTGGTAATTCTCTAGGCCCCAATAGTACTGACAGGGACCAGGACACTGGGTCAGTAGGGACACCACACGTATGAGCAATTACAAGCCTAGTGAAGGAACTTATAGCCGTTAAACCCCAAACCCTAAACCCT